GGGGGGGGGGGGGGGGGGGGGGCTACAAACCCGGGAACGGGAATTATAAGCTAGTTAAATTATGTGCAACACTAACCTTTACGTACATTTTAAACCATATACCACATGATTTACTCGGAAAATGTTTATGGCAAACATTTTTATGTAGCATGCTCAATGACATTTTATGTTTAGCATTGATTTACAGGTTTTTATTATAATTTATTTTTAAAAACATATTTTTTGTATTATAACTAATTATTTGATGATTATTATCTCTCAACTACACGTAGAGACTTAACCATTGGATTCAATACCAACGGTGTGTTTGTTTATTATCGCATATCTCACGCATGGTTTTCAGTGTTTACAGTCTACTCACGGTTTTGGATTCATTAGTATTATTAATTTGTAAAATAGATTAAAAGTTAGATAAGCAACATTATTTTAATATAATATCAGGGGTAGTATTAAATGAAAAATATGACTAATTTGTGTGAACAATATTTTTATTAGAAAATATTTTTAAAATTAGTTTTTAATTTTTGAAATATAGTTTTCAAGATTTAGATTTGTTTTATTTTATGGATTACTATTTACTTACAGAAATAAAAACTTATTTGCACACAATTTATAAATTTTAATTTTATCATTTAATAGTTATTGAAATAATAATTATAATTTAGCATTCTTATAATTTATTAAAAATAACGCTAACTAAATTAAATGCAACTAAAATCGCAAGTCGACTGTATGTATGGCGCGAATTATGCTAAACATAAAATAACTAAAAATTTTAATTTATTAATTAACTCAATGAGTCCAATGGAGGTCTGGTATCTAATATCACACAACCACTAGATTGGTAGCGACTGCACCGGGAGGTCTATGGGGAGGGTATTGGTGGTGGTGTCAGTGGAGGGAATCAGTTTGCGAGTTAAGTGCATATGACCTAGATTATATTTATTTAATGTACAAATAAATTTATAAAAATTAAATATTACCACATTCTACACTAAAATGGCTATCGAAAATAAAAACACCTAGTTAATTAACAGCAAACTAAAGCAAACAATAAATAAATAAGCTAGTTAATTGTCATTAAATTTAATAGACTAGCAGATCAGGTATAAATTCAATGCTACTATTAAAACTGCCAGATCATTTTACTAAATGTATTCTTATTTTATTTTTATAATTGCTAAACCTGTAAGTCAGCTGTCTACAATAATTCAATCGTATAGTGACCAAGGACATTGTTATAAATTTTGTATATAAAACGTTATATTTACGCAAAACACTTAGCTATTAATTTAATTTATAAATGTGTTACGCATGTGACCCGGCTATTAATACCTCTATACTGTAATATGTAACCATTATAATGTAATACTGAATATATTGTGGTAATGAGTATCGCAATAGTATAACAATATTTCGTGAACTATTTCGTAAGACTTACTGTTATTTAATCGCAAATAAAACTCGTGATTAACCCCTAAAATCGTTGGCATTTAAAACCGCAGGGTTTTTGCCAACACTAATAAAACCGGCTTTTCTAATGCACCAGAAATGTGCACTAATTATGTGCTATATTTTGTTCATTTAGTATTAAAAATCAGATAATATTTACGTGTTTTCATTGTAGATTGAGTAAGGTTAGTTGCATATAAAGTTAATTTAGTGTAATTAACACAGAATATATTATGTTCATTATATTTGGTGTACACTATGAACTTATAATTGTTTTTAATGTGTTTAAAAAAACCGCACATTATTTATGTATCATTTAACTGATGGTGTGAATGGAGTACTGAGAAAACCCTGTGTTTTAGTGATAAACCGCCGGAATGTGTGATAGAAATCCCCGTAATTTCTAGAGTAATACAGTATACTCTCAGTAAGTTAGTTATTTATCTATTATTAACTAATTTATCAATTGTATCGGGGTTAATTGTAAATAAAATGTTGAAAATCGAATAAAAATGTTTACCATATAGATGTAAATCTAGAAATACTGATTAAACCAATAAAAATAAAACCTCATTAATAACTTCATATAAAGTGTACGCACAGTGTATGCGCTGTTTTAGCCCCAGACTGGTGGCGACAAAACCCCTTAACAGAGCGTGTGTTTCACACAAAAACACAAGTGTTTTGAAAAACCTCTCATTCGCTGCACAATACGAACCGAAACCACGTTTCATAACCACATTAACCACACAAACAATCCATTGAATCGTAAGTATCGCTTGAAATGTATACAACTTTTTCGCATATAATTAACTCAACGTTCACTCAATAGGTTGATCGCCAGCACCGGTGAGACTTGTGGTGCGAAAAAGCACTTCACAAATAGCCGCACATACTGTAGAGCACGTGGAGGTCTGTCTGTCTCTCTATCTCTGTGGGCACCGGTATGTCATCGCAGCCGCTGATTATGGACGACATGTCCGACGAGAAGGTAGTGGTGACACACGTGGAGACGCCCGAGAAGTTCTTCGCGCGATTGGCCTCCGATGGCGAACGGGTCGACACACTGGACGACACGATCTACCGGCGCGTTATGTCCACCGCATTCGCACCGGACCTCACGCCCCACCTCACGGACCTCATGGCGGACGACCACGTGTTGGCCTACTCGACGATCCATCAGCGGTGGTGTCGGGCGCGCGTGCAGTACGTGTCCAGCGGTGGCGATATGGGGCTCACCACCGGTGCCGCCAATCAGCTCAAGAGCGCCGTCGCCACCAATGGTCCCAAAGGGTCGGCTCGGGTGTCGCTCATCGACTTCGGCAGCGTTGAGGTCGTGAGCGCCGGTAACCTGAGGCTCACCACCGACGAGATAATGGCCTACAATAAGGGGCAGTCGTTTTGCTTCGAGTGCCGACTGGCGTACGTCAAGCCCTACTCCCCGACCCGCGAGTGGAGCTCTTACGCCAACTACGTGTTTGAGTCGGCCCTCCGGGACTACCAGTCTATTGAGCTCCGGTACCATCGGCACGACGCGGCCGGTGTGGTTGTGTGCGACCTGAGGGCTACCGGCGCTAAGGAGTCGCTGCCGTCGATGGCTGACTATCTGGTGGCCGCTCGCGTCGCGCACTACCGGATGGGCGAAGACTTCTATCACCGGCTGTTCGCAGACGACGGACCCCATTACGACCCCAAGAGCGGCGATCCGCGAGATTTTGAGTGGAACTCCGATTCGGGTGATGAGGACAGGGAGGGCCCGGTTGTTGATGAGGACAGACACGTCGCCAAAAGCACTAAATTATATTATATTTGAAAATAATTTGTATTTTTTTTATAGCAAATGAATTGATTAATGAAAATATTTGAAACCCTTTTTGTAGTCATAATTACTATTAAGTTATTTCTCTCAATATATTCAACACTTTTTTGGTTTTATTTTTTGGCCAAATATTGTGTTTTTTTTGTTTTTGTGGACAACCTTTTTGGTCCGTTTCTCTTATTATTTAAAACGTTTTTTGTATTAAACATTAAATAAAAGTTGTTTTTTTTGTATTAATTGTGTGCATTTGTCTGTCTATTCAATTCAATAGTTTTATTAACTAGGTGTTTTTATTTATCAAAGTCCTTCTATTGTGTAATGTAGCGTTATTTAAATTTAATAGATTTATTTGTAGATTAAAATATATAATCTAGGTCATAATATATTATGCACTTACTGTTAACTCACAAACTGATTCCCTCTACGGTCACCACCACCAATACCTCGCCATAGGCCTCCCGGTGCAGTCGCTACCACTCTAGTGGTGTGTGATATTAGATACCAGACCTCCATTGAACTGATTGAGTTGATTAATAAATCAATCAATAAATTTGGCTTTGGGTTTACATATTTTAATTTGTGAGTAATTTATTTATATTAAGCATAGCTTATTATAATGCATAATAATTACATAATTAATGAAATGTCATAATCTGGAAACCCATGAACTAGTGTTGTGTGCGTACAATGGGGTCAGTCATGCAATTCACACCCAAATCGGTGTCTATCCCAACATTACGACCAAAGAGTGCGGTATTGGATGGCATACACCGTCCGATTTGGACGACAAGTGCTTTATTTTCCACAAGAGCTCTGCCATTGCGGGCAATATATTCAATGGTCGCGATGTGCGAGCGGGTGAAATGCCCTGGGTGGTCTATATCATTGCTGATATGTGGAAAACATTTTTCTTTATTATATCATTCCCATGGGGATAGTAAGAATATAAATAAATTTAAAAGTTAATATTGAATTGATCCATAAGATAAGTTCTTAAAAATCACTCAAAATTATTACCCCGTATAAATTATTTGGGTTTTTAAAATTATGTCACAATTAAATGTCCAGGTGAGACAATCTTTTATTCTCCAATTTATATCTCCAATACTATATTTCCGGGACTGTCCGGTCAAATCGGATCGCCTGGTCACCCTAGTTGGACAATGATTTAAAATTGTACTTCTTTTATAAATTTAAAAAATTTTGAAAATAATTTATATTGTATTTCGCATAAACTGATTAATTAATTTAAAAGTCCCAATACTATTAATTTAAAAATAAACGTACCTGCAGATATTATTATATAACTTAAAAAGCGTATTGTATTATGTGGTTCAGTGACCTTGTTTATACTGTCGAAGCTCTGAGTTGTGTATGAGCTAATGCAGACAAAATCTGTACACAGTAGGGAATGTTCACAACAGGGAATGTCAACAACAAAAAGAATATTGTCAACTTTAACAATATCTGGCAATCG